CAAAGAATGTGCCACCTAATTAAAACCTACAACATAAATCATAGGCTGGTGAAAAAAAATCACCTCTCCAAACATTGCATTCAAATCCAGTTAAATATTTTCCATGAGATTTCACATGAATTTACTGGTTTCATAAGATGACTTCTCTGTTCCTTCCCTAGCAAAGAGGACATTTATATAAAAATCTATTAATGTTATGATGATCATGCCTCAAACTTGGCAAAACATTCTCTCTTCCATTTTAGTGCAAATTCTTTGAACCTCCATAGCTAACAAAAATGATGCAACAAGATATTTTATAACTGGTGACAAAAACCTGTGATTCCTGAACAATTCAATGTTTAATTGGGTCAAATATTTCAGTGTAATATGGGAATACGTTTATCAGAATCACTAGAGGCCTAGTGTTAATTCTGAAGGCCGAGCACAAATGAATAGTCTTATACACAAACCTTGACTCATTAGTACTGCAGAGTATTTTGTGGATTTTATTTTATGAAGATTATTCAGAGTCTATAAATTAGGCTTTTAGAAAGCAATTATCTGGAAAAATATTTAGGTATAATTTGATCTGGAATCTAATGAAAGGTTTTAACAAATGCTTTCTGCTAGAAGAGAATTATATTACTTTAAATGAAAGTATGGACCCAAATCCTCCTCACAGTGGCATGAATACAACTATGGATGCCACTGTCAGAAGGATTTGGAACCAGAATTTTCATTCAAATGAATGTAATCCCTTACTATCTTGGAAATATAAAAATTTGAAGAGTACAAATTCAGCATCAGTGGATTTGCATCACTGTCATTGGGAGGGACATTTGTCCCATTACATTAATTAGCAACATAAATTTAAAACTCCACAATGTGGACCTGATTAATAAAGATTGGTTATGCCAGACACTACTGAAAGGATGCAGATAAGACAAACTGTACAGTAAGAAGATGAAAGTGTCTGGCATTGAATAATGGACATGTTGTAAACTGATAACATCTGTGACTTGAGGCATAGTGTTCAGGTCTAACTCAAGACCCAAAGGTATACCAAAAGAGTGGCTTTACATCACAATTGTGCTTTCCTGATTCTGGGCCTGGCCAGCAGTTGGTTCATCTCCAGCAAACCCCAGAGCAAATTTCTGCTTAGTTCAGTAATTTGCTATAACTTTATAAAGTACTGAGAATCCTCAAAATCCATTCCAAGGGTGGAGTGATTAGCAGTGTACTTAAAATACCTTGTGCCCCTAATGTCTTAGAGAAAGTACCACTCTACAGGGCAGACAAACAACTTACTCAGCAGCAACTCATATAGTGCTATAGATTCATTTAACATTATGTATTTTTAACTTTTTATGGTAGTTTTACAGTGATGTTGTAGCTATGATTGTCCAACAATTATGTAACAGACAGGACTTCTTAGGGAAATACCTTTTACTGGACCAACTCCATAGTTGGGATGGTGTTGGACAAACTTTCCAATGCAAGACATTCATGAATGTATTACCGGATGAAGAATGTCTTGCATTCAAAAGCTTGTCTAACGCTATCCCAACTATGCAGTTAGCCAGTAAAAATATATCACCCTAAGAAATCTTTCTCCTGCATATCTTTTTATTAAATTAGTCATTACCTCATATGCTTTTTAAAGTAAAAGAGAACTGTAAGGTACAGTGGACATTCCTGAGAAGAAAAAAGCACTCTGCAATTCCTCGTCTCTCCCTCCCCAACCCCCACTTTCCCTTTCCAAATTGTGGATGGTGTGAAATTTTCTTCAGCACATCCATAAGAAGAAAAAAAACATTGATCCTTTAAACCATACATATAATGTCTTAATCCCCCACTACTTTACTTTGGTAATATCACTCTCACAGCCCTTACCTGAGACCAACTTGGCATCTTCCTTCCCTTGAACTATTACTATTAATTACCTGAGGAAGAATGTCTTGCATTTGAAAGCTTGTCTAACTTTATCTCCACTACATAGTTGGTCTAATAAAAGATATCATCCTAAGAAATCCTTGCCTCTTACAAGTTAACTACCTCTGATTTTAATGCCAGAAATGATTGTAATGTCTGAGGGGCAAGTAATTTACTATAACCTTTAGATATGGCTTCACACAAGTAACTTTTCAGATTCTAGTCAAAGAACTTATTCCTGCAGAGTCACTTTTTTGGAGGGATAGACTGTAGATTATAATGATCTTTTAAAAATCATTAATTTGGAGGTTTTTTCCTCTTTCCTTCCTTTGAAGAAAAAAGCAAATCAATTACAAAACAAACCCTTACAAACAAGCTAAGGTAAAATCAAGGTTATGATCACACAATACAAAACTGCTTCCTGCTCCCTGTAGTCTGGAATCTGAACCGAGTGCACCATCCCTTTGGCTAAGAAATTTTCCACCCCTTCCCATTCTCAACTGGGCATCTGCCTAGAGTGGATGTTCTTTGAAAGGATGACAGAAGCCCTATGAACAAATAAATACACGTTTATATCAAATTCTGCGCCAAGCCCTGAACTGGGGTAGCAATTTTCAACAAATCTGACTGCTTATAAAGAGACTTGTAAATTGAAAGGCAGGAACTTCAATACAAAAAAGTTTAACGAACAGCTCTGACCCCAAATTCCTGCTCTCCACACTGCTTCTATACTGAACACTGCAGCTCTCTTACTATAACTCCTCACATTTTCTAATGGCTGTATAATACAAAATACCTAAGTAAACCCAATAGCAGAGGCAAGAGCTTAGGCTGACTCTGGCAGCAAATTGACCTCATTACTAGCCTACAGAATCACCTTCCTTGCTTCCTTTCTCTTAGGCCAGGAGTCTGGCTTATCGGTTGTCTAATGGCACAACTAAAACAGATGAGCTGAAAGTGCCCCAACCCAGACCTGCTGCTTTCCTCCACTGTTGGGGACATTCCATTTCTACTGTGCTCTGCTCAACCTGCTGGCTTCTGAGATTCACATTTGTAGGGGCCTAATCTTTCCTGTTGGAGTTGCAAATTTCACTCTGCATACCAGGCACCTAAAATTAGGTGTGGATATACTGAGTGGCACCATACCTAAATCCCTCTGCAGATCTGGCTCTTATTGTTTGCAGTTACCATAATATCTGTCAAAGAATAGTTTCTAGAGACTCCAAAATCAAAATACCTCCATTACTGCAGTCATAAACAGCTCTATATCTATGATTTACCTTTTTTCTTGCTTGCTCTGTCAGTCATTCATTTTGAAGGAGTTTGTGTTGCTTTTCAGAGTGTGGACTCTATTTTGTAATATGCAGTATAGACTTCACTGTCAACTTTAAACTTCTGCAACATTTGACATTTATGTAGCAAGGCATTTCTTCTAGCTCACTTTTTTCCTTCTAGTTAATTAAACATTTTCTAAAATTTGTAGGACAAGCTACATAGGTAGCATTCACACAACATGTTGCTTAGGATGAAAATATGAGATTTTATTAAATCATAAATATATTGATGCAAATCAATCCTCAATACACTATCAGACTGAACACAGAGGACCACAATATTGTTAATACAAACGGGGAAAAGAGGAAACCAAAACAAAAAAAGAAGACAAAATGAATTTTCTTCAGAATTAAACTTATTTTCCAAATGCTTAATTTATAAACGTTACTAGCCAAAACTGCAGGATAATTTTTAGCAACTAAATAGACAATTTTATGGGGTCAAGTTTTTGCTCATGCAAAAAGGTAGATTTGTCTGTGCAACTTGTATCCTCAAATTTACACACAAGTCTGAATGCTTCTTGAATATAAAAATATATACTTGTGAGTTATGTCCTTAGAAGCTAAGGTGAACCTGCTTTAAAAATTCAGCACTTTGTATTCAGAATGATACAATGTTGTACTTTACTTTTGAAATAAGGGAAGACATAACTAAAATAACAGGTATCTGTTCCAGCTGGCAGAATCAAGGTCTGTCTGAGAACCTGCCTCACATTTCCTGTCTTCTAAGTGTTTCCTGTGCATTATACCACAGTGGTTAACTTCTACTATTTTTTTTGCAGTAAGGTTGCATACATTGCTATCCCTTAAAAGTGACCAGAGATGAGCTGACTTGAGTTCTATACCTTGTACTGACCAAATCCAAGTAACAATGACAAATCTGTCATGATCTCAAGAATAAAAGATAGGGCAATATCTGACTACAAATGAGATGCATCTCATTCCTAGTGCCTAAATAAAACACAATTTAAAACGACAAGATGAAAGTGGTGTAGAAATACCAGCTCATACACATCTATCTCTCCACACATAAAAGGGAACTACATGGAAGAAAAAAGATTTCCCAGGATTTTATTAGTTGGACATACATGCATACTTTTGCTTCCTACCTGGCATTTCCTCTTGTGCTGGCAAGTTCTGGTTCCTCCAGTTAGAGGGATACCAATTGAAAGTAGAAAAAAACCTATCAAACCTTTTTATTGTCCTTCCTCTGTCTCTTCCTCTCTCTCCCCCATCTCTTTTAATCTTATTGACAAGACTTAATATTCCTCCTCCCAATTCCAACTGAAATAAGCTACCCTTTTGCAAATAGTAGTATCAAGTGTGTGGTCACTAGTAGTATAGGTCAACAATGTTATTAATAAACATACACTGCCAGGAACAGATCAAAGAGCCACGCTTTAAAATAATAGTTTTGTATAGGTACCATGAGGCAAATGGCAGCAGTTTTATACTCATAAAACTGTAACGTTGTAAGAACAGACCACAAACAGAATCTGGTGTCAGTTACTGCAACAAACAGCCCATCAATTTGGAGAATATATTATTTCTTTTTGTTTTCACACACACACACACACAAAATAAAATAATACCATAACAGAAGGGTGCTGTATCTGTGTTTAAAGAAGGGGTTGTTGGCAAACACCACAGCTCACTTCTGCCGAAATGTACACAACTGATATATGCAGCACAGAAAGCTGGCACCAGGGGCTTACAACCTTAATTTGCCTGCAAGAAGGAACAGAGATTTACCTTCAGAGCACGTTCTTGATTGTTTTCAGCAGTCAGATGTCTCATGTTGTTTGCTGAAGTCTGGTTCTGCTCTTTCAGATGATGAAGCTCCTGCTCCAGCCGTTTGCACTGCAACGAGGAAAGAATCCCATTAAGTAAAGGAGCTGGGGCATATTTTCTCCAACAAGCCAAATGAATTAATGTAAATAACATCAGCACCATTTTTGCAGTGGAAAAAGCCTCAGGCAAAGCAAGTTGTAATGCAAGAGATGAGATAATACTAGGCCTATACTATTTTTAAAAATAATATTCAGTCTTTTATTTATTCCGTCTTCGTGAGCCAGTTGTTCATGGAAAAGAAAGCTCATTAAGAGGTATATAGAGAAACTCAGCAAAATACATATTTTTTAAAACTTGGCAAATAAATAAGACACTTGGCCAAATTCTTTTTCTAGCTGTACTCAAATGCTTTTTCTATCTTTTTGTATAACACAAAATTAGGCTTTTAAAAATATATAAAACTAGATATGAGAATGTTGTAGGAGAACAATGTAAGAGCATATATTTTTATAGGGAAGTATATGCATAATTTCATAAATGGTATATTAATTAAGCTAAGAGACTATATTAATTGCCAAATGCATAACAGAGTTTGGAGGGGAAAAGCTAGATAAAAGTATATCTATTTTTTAATATTTAACTTAAAAAAGCTAGATAGAACATTTTAATTTTTCCCATTGTATGCTTATGTACACAAATGTTTAAAGCAGTAAAGTTGAATAACTATTTCAAAGGGCAAAAGGTTAAGAATATCAAATTAGCAGCCAAATCACATTTTGCCAGTTTTAAAGATCGTAATAAGGGATAAAACCCAGCTATCTTGGCTTAACATAGTAATTAAACTGTTAGTAGAAAAAAATCCCACATAAAAACAGAAATGGGAAGTGGAGGTTCAGTGGATTACTAAGGGCATGTAAGAGAATAACTGCTAAAGCAAAAGTATGAGGAGAGAACATGATACCTAAGATCATGTATAACAACAGAATATTTTTAACATACCACATGTTACAAGGGAACCATTACAATATTAGTACTGAAAACTAAAATGGAAGACCTTGATAAGACAGGAGTTGAATATTTAAATGATGAAACATTGTGATGGATAAAATTTCAAGCCTGGAGGAAAGGAATGAAATCAGTGACTTGCTGGCCACTAACATAGTGATCCTAAAGCAGAAAACTCAAAAGCAATCATCCTGATGGTTTATGACCATGGGTTATATATAAAGTTCAGTAAAAAATTATTAATTTGTCAGTAATCTCTATTCATCTCTCCAGTATGCAGTACTAAAGTACTGAAGCATGACTCCTAATGTTTAAGGGGAAAAGATGTGAACCAGAGATCTATAGGCCACTGAGTCTTGTTTCATATCCAAGTAAAATTCTGTTGATCAGTATAAACAGTCCTGCAGACTGATGCAATCTGCTCAAAACACAAACATTTGAAGACATACAAAAAAGTATGATACAAGATAACCTTATTTTCTTTATTCAAATTCTAAATCACAAACAATGTACTCTGTTGCCCATTATCAAGTATTTAGCACCAAAAGTAGGAAGACCAATAGTTGTGGCTTTGGCTATTTTGTGTACTTGCACTACAAGCCTAAGCTTGGAATGTTACCAATTCTAATGTAATTTTCCAGGTTAAAGATAGGAATATCACTGGGACTAGCATATTACTTTGAACTAGAGTCATTTTGGATCCGTGCTGGCTGGACTAGAATATATCAATTTTTACATAAATAAGAAAAATGTTTTTACAATAATAGGGAAATCCAGAAAATTGTTAAATTGTACCACGACTATAGTTTTATAAAGCAATTACTGACATTTTGCGTTTAGTTTTAAGGGTTATCTTACTGAAAATGGCTATTACAAACTACAGCCTATACATTCCTTTTCAGTATCCAGCATAAAAATATGTTACTGTGGATATCATAGGTAAGGTGATAGGAAAATTACCCCAACAACTTTATGAATCACTTAAATCCACAGTCACACAGTACAATTTCTCTAATGTATGTAGCCTCAGAACAACAGAATTTTAAAATTGACCTGTTAATTCCTTATCATGAATTATGAGGTTTCAATTGCCATTTTCCCTTGGTATATTTGTTATTTTTCCATTTCAACAATGCCTCTTTTTAAAAAAATAATCTTACAAATCTTTCATTTTGAAATTCCTCAATTATTATTTTGATTATAACAGTGATATTTTGAACTTAATGAAGTAATTAAATTAAAAGACCAAAATCTTAATGCACCTTAAAAAAAACCCAAAAAACCCACATTTTTTCATGCTGCTCTCCTGACTCAAAAATAAATTTGACATACCGCAAATACCAACCTTAACTACTTTACAATCCAAAAACAAGATGCACATCAGGAAGTCTGAACAACTGAGGGCCTCAGCATGCACTTTATAACCTGATTCTCCTGTGTGCTACACTCTTGTGAAGACAGAAATTTGAATTAAGTAGAAACAGCAGGGTTCTTACACCATTCTGCCTGTTCACAGACAGGTAGAAGAACAGTAGTGCAAATGCTCACACACGGAATCTCTAGCTCAACAGCGTCTTTTACTCCAATTAAATGTTCCATTAGGGTTTCCCCTCTTGGGGGAGGGGGGGGGCGGGAGGAGAGAGGGAGGGGAAGATCCTCTTTTTCATTGAAACCTTTGCAAATGGAAAATCAGACATGTTGCTACAATCCACTGAAAAGTTTTGCTTTAATTTGACCATCACAGGAAAAGGTGTCTGGTTAACCTCTCTGTAATAGATCATACAAGTACAAGACTCGTATCTCTTAATTCACTCAAAATAATGATTAACTAAAGCTGTTTCAAGCAAATAAAAAATATTTATTTTTTTCTCCTGGTCCTGAATATAGAAGTTAGCCATGTGTCATCTGTTAAGAATACATATTATAGAGAAAAAATGTTATCTTATATTATTGTACATTCTGTAAAATGCTTAGCTTTACAAAAGTTGTATATTTAGACTATTATTAATATTAAAATACTCTACTGAAAACTAAACACCTTTTTCACAAAGGTCAAGAACATATGAAGTTTCTTTGCAAGCAATATTTCTACTGTCCAGAAAGAAGTCTTAAAAATAGTTTTAAACAATGTGGCCCTTCTATTCAGTTTGGCCAACATTTTTTGAATTTGGTGTCATTGGAAGTTAGCTGGATCCAATAAAAATAGATATTCTTTTAAAGAACATGTGTTTTTATTGGTTACCTTCATTGCTGAAGGACGCCAACAGCTGCTAGTAAGAAACTGGACTTCCTTCTAAAAACATATATAAAAATACTTTTTGAGTAGGGTGAAGAGGAGTCACAGACCAGTTTAGTATTGATGGCAAGGAAACATAAGATTTTTTCACAAAGCAGAGGCCTAAAGGAAGTTTTTTCATTTTAAAAATCATAACTAAGAACTTCTAAAACCTGCAGTACCAAATTTATTAGAATATATATTTATGAATCGGTTAGGATGAATCCTAGAGAAATCAGATACATTTTTTTTTCTAAATGGTACACTGGTAATTTTTTTTCCTAAATGGTACATTTTAATATGAAAGACTCACCTTGAGGAAATTCTTCATTAAATTACCATGTTTTGCCAAAAGTAATGATTATTTAAAAACTGTTTGTTTCTTATTTCAGCTATCACACATCCTTAGCAATATTGGCAGAAGCATGTGCTTGAAGGTCAGAGAAGATAAGCATGGAAGAGAGTCTTGAAGATTTATCTAGAAGTCACTAAAGCCTTTGGGTTGGCAGTGGGTTGTATCCTTTCATATAGATTTTGCATAGTAACCCTTAAGGATCATTTAAATTATGTTAGTAAGATTCATGCACATAAAATAGGTATATACATAGAGTACTCAAATGTGAGGTAGGATATGCCAAAAAGGAAGTATAAGACAGAAAACAGGAGAAGTTTTCCTAATCTTTTGTACATATTCACTCTAAAACTATCAATCCCAAACTAGCATTGTCATGGTCACAACCTACATGAGTCAGTGCTACACTTTAAGGCTATCTTTATCTTCACTCCCTTACCAATCAGCAGCTCCCTTTTGTAGAGCAGTTGCCAATAAAATATTCTGTCCCCAAGATTGGCCACTTTGGCTGAGAGAGAATGTTGGCTTTCTCTTATTATTGCAACCAGAAAAAATTGTAATAGTCAGCGAACCACTGTGTGATAAAAGTTGGCAAATACATTTTGAACACAATCATTACACCAACTATCAAAATATAATAATTTCAATATGTTTTCCCCCCATGCATTTCAGAGGTAGTTAGAATGGGAATATATGATGGGAAATATAACATTTCTCAACTAGGATCCTTACAGAAAAGCTGCCACATTCCCTAAGGTGATCAAGTTCTTTAATTTAAAATACAGTGGGCCAAGGAGCAGCTCTACTCACCCAGATCTTTGCGGGTCTATTCCTTCCTACTAAGCCTACCAGCAGTGGGGAGTGGGAGAGATACTCCTCCTATGGATTCCTTATGATTGTGCTCTGAAGACCTCTATAACATAAACCAGGTAAAGATACTTTTGTGGTGCATCCCGGTCCAAACTTGGAGACAGGTACTGGAGAGCATGCTTAACTTCTGCTGTACCAAGGCTGGAGATTGGGACCGACTGCCCACTAAGCATAGAATGAAGGACACAGACATCTGTGAATGCTGTTGCTAGCTTTGACCTCTACTTCTGATGTTAAGGACCTTTCTTATGATGGTACTACAGCCCCACAGCTAGGAAACAGAGTAAGTGTGCATTGGTAGTCAATTTTGGGACAGAGAACTCTAAATCTGAACAAATATATGTGACCAAGTGAAACAAAACTTAATGAGATTAAAAGGTAACATAGAGATCTGCCAGGTAGAGGAGCTGTCAGGTAGAAGAGACATAGAGGAAAAAGTGGCAGAGGGGTAGCAGTGAGATAAATTCAGAATGGGGTACAGAGAACAGATAGAGGCATGCTTAAAAACATACTCTGATTCTTCCTGTTCTCCAATTAAAGCCCCCAAGGCTAGGGACAGACATTCAA